TTACCACACCCCGAAAACACCCACACCTTTTCTTTTGTCGTTGTCCAGAGAGGGATGGATTTGCTTCCACAAATAACTCCCTCCTTTAAGCTGAGGTCAATGCTGAAACCAAAGTTATTTTAGCACCAAACACGATGATCTGTGTCTTCTGGGGGGTATATTTCAGTACGTTCAGCTGGAATCTCCAGGATGAAGTCTCGGTTCATTAATCCTTCCCAACACTCAGCTATGAGTTTGTCTGTCATAAGGGACAGTAAAGTTAACCTTCCAAGCACTGCTTATAAAATGCCAAGAAAGACTCTCTCTAAAGTACAGTGTTAGGATTTAGACTAATGCAGGAGCTCAGTACCAGACATAATGAAACATCTTAATGAAAATCACTGACCGGGTTATAGTGCTATATCACTATAATGCCAAAGATATACAACAATCTTCAGATGGTCAAAGATCTTCATTCACATTTCTAAAAAAAAATACATACTAATTAAAGATGTAAAAGTTTCTTCTGGGTTAGAAAAAAAATTCTAGGCTCAAGAGAAATACCCCAGTTTCAAACCATTTGTAAGAAATGACATTAAAAGCCCAACCTCGACAAGAACGAACGTATTGTTCTATGATTGTTCTAGTTTGAATAGGCTCTTCAAAAAGCGACCAAGGTCTCTCTAAGGCGTATCTGCTTGGTATGTAAAAAGCTGACAGCAAATCGCCTCTCTCCTCGCAGCAGCCTCGCTGGCTTCCTGATGGTCTAAGAGAATTAAAATCTCTTGTAAGGATACACTCTGTAATGTACGTTAATATATTCCTTATTAGAGACAGTGTTGTCTCCACAGGGGACATGACTCTGCATTTAAGTTTTCTTCTTTGTGCGCTGTTTCAATACACCTGCATGAACTCAAGATATTGGTAACGTGTAACAAGAAATCCATATAACGCATTACATCCCCAGCTTAAACGTCTTTATGGCTGCAACAGACTGGAAAGCACAGCAGCAGAGTTTCCACGCCAGTCACAGCTACAGCAATCTCAGCTGTTTCAAGCCCTGTACAAAACCTGCTCACTGGAACTTGGTGGTACAGCAACACTATTAAACAGTACTAAGCTACAGAAAACTGACTCTTTTGTAAAAAACATTTCCAGCTAGAAACAGTTTCTGACACACCCAGCAGTTGTGTTGGGCTCTCAAAGGTATGGAAGAGGAGATCCCAAGCTGGAAATATGTGCACCTACTGATTGTGTGGGAGATTGATACAGGAGGCCCTACACCCCTGCCTATCCTGGTGCTAACCTCAAACCTGCCCCACCTGTGCTGAAAACAGTTGGAAACCTGAAGTTGCCTCTCCCTTCCGTTTGTACAATCATGTGCAGACTGAGGTGGCATTTGCATGAATTCTACCAGGGAACACAGAAACATCAATGCACAGCATAGCTGCTGCAGGTGACCTGTCCTGTGCTTTAGGGAGTAGGAAACTGGAAAAGAGGTGCTTTCTGCAAGCTGGAAACTGTATTCTGTGTTTCTAAACAGAGCTTGTGTGTTCCCAGTTTCTAACTGCTTCTTCCAATTCAGGGTCATGGGGGAGCTGGAGTCTATCCCAGCAAGCAATGGGCATAAGGCAGGGTACACCCTGGACAGGACGCCAGTCCATCACAGGGCCACACACAGACACCCACTCCAGGGCCAGTTTTACCCAGAAGCCAATCAACCTACCAGTACGTCTTTGGCCCGCGGGAGGAAACTGGAGCGCCTTCGAGGAAACCCACGCACACCTGGGGAGAACCTACAAACTCCACACAGACAGCACCCTGGGCGGGCAAGGCAGCAATGGAGGTCCCACAGAGACCAACCACAGCAGCAGAGTGACTTCCTGGTGGGCGTCGCCGTGCAGGGGAGGGGCGGGGGGTCTCCATGGAAACGAGGAAGTGGCTGAAATCCCCTCCTTTTCATTGGCTGACGGGGGGGTAACAGGAAATGAAAGACAGAAAAGACCCTCCTTCGCCAGCCCCGCCTCGGCACCCGAGCCCGGCGCTGGGACGGCAGTTCCGCGCGCCCCCCCCCCGCCCCACGGGGGCCTCGCTCAGGCCAGGGGCCAGCCCTCCTGGCCGAAGACCAGCTCCACGGCCTCGTCCACGTCCCGGGCCACCAGGGCGGGCTCCACCAGGCTGGGGTCGAAGCGGAAGTCGCGGTGGCCGTGGAAGACCCTCTCGGTGACGCTCTGCCGGGGGTCCTGGGGCAGGTCCCGCTGGCCGCCGCCGCCGCCGCCGCCGCCATAGACACCCGTGCACACCAGGACTGAGACGCAGCACTCCGCCAGGCACCTCCCGAGGGCCTCGGGCCCCCCCGCCGCCTCTGGCGGGGCCCCCTGCGCCTCCGCCAGCCGCGCCCCCTTCAGCTGGGCCTCCAGCGCCCCCTGCAGGTAGCGGTTGTACAGGTTGGCGCCGTAGATGTCCGCCATGGGGTTGTCCCTGTGAAGACGGAGTGAGAGGAGAGCCCCGTTTCAGCGCTGTTTTTCCACTCCAGGGTTAGAGAGAATCGGCCTTCCAAACCGCGACACAAGAAAGATGTCCGCGAGAGCGCCCACGAATGACAGCGCGAGGCTGCCCTTCCTGCTCACTAGTCCCTGAGGCACCGACTGAGGCGCTGTGATGGACGCTCGGAGAAGGACAGGTTGTGGCAGCAGGCGTCTCACCGCAGAGATTTTGTGATGTGCTGCAAATGCTGCGGTGTGCATTCCAAACCACAACGAACGTAAAATGTCCACGAGAGTTCCCACGAATGACCACGTGAGGCGGCCCTTCCTGCTCACTAGTCCCTGTAGTGTGATGTAATATCCACAGTAACTTGTTCAATCTGCAGTTTCTACCACAAAATAGACGACATTTCCAGGTATGGCCAGCGCCCATTATATTATATATAATAAGATCAGATCACTTTATTGGCCAGATACAGTGTCCCGCCTGAGGAATGTGTCTTTTCTCAGACCCCAGCCTGCTCTCCAGGAGACACACAGACAGGGAGAGAGAAGCTGGGGGTCAGAGGGCAGGGTCGGCCATTTATACGGCGCCCCTGGAGCAGCTTTGGTGAAGGGCCTCGCTCAGGGGGCCCCAGGGAGTAGGATTCCTCTGCTGGGCCGCGGGATTCGAACCGGCAACCTCCCGGCCCCAGGCGCAGATCCCGAGCCACAATTGCCACCGCTCCGTGTAAGGCATAACGAAGCACCAACCAGCAGCCGCAAAGGGGATCTACGGGGAAGTGCATTTAAAACTGGGAGCAAAGGAGGCACTTCTTTACACAAAGGATGGTGGGAGGGTGGAACAAGCTGCCCAGCCACGTTGTTGAAGCCCCTTCTTTGGCTGAATGAGATCCCTGGATCACTACACCGTGAAAGTTTGCTTTCCTCCTCCCGTGCAGGAGCCCCCGATTGTAAGCCCGCGTACACGGTGTAAACACACATTTCGATCCTATCCGGCGGGGCTCACCCAATAGCATAGAGTCGGACGACGGGCTCGGTCCACCCTCTGGCCTCCGCCTGCTGCCTGACCAGGAGCTCGGCGTAGTTGTACGTCACCAGGCTGGGCTTCCCGATCAGAGCCTCGTACTTCAGCTCCCGGCCCGTGACCTTCTGGTAGATGTGCTCCAGGCAAACCAGGAACGTCCCGTGTCCGAACCTGAGGGCGACATGGGGAGCCGGGCCCCGTCAGGAGGGCGTGGAACCCGGACCGACGCGAGGGGGGCAAGGCTTGGAAATTTAGCGAGAGCTGAGGTGCCTCTCAAGTCTCCCGTTTTCACGGGAATCCAATCTTCTCGTTGTCTCCTTTGCCTACAGCACATTTCACTTAGGAATCTCCCAGACTGGCCAG